TTTGAGACAGAGTCTCACTCTTGTTGCCCAGGCTGGAGTGCAGTGGTGCGATCTCGGGTCACTGCAACCTCTGCCTCCCAGGTTCAAGCAATTCTCCTGCCTCGGCCTCCTGAGTAGCTGGGACTACAAGCGCCCACCACCACGCCTGACTAATTTTTGCATTTTTAGTAGAGATGGGGTTTCTCCATGTTGGTTAGGCTAGTCTCAAACTCCTGACCTTAGGTGATCTGCCCGCCTCGGCCTCCCAAAGTGCTGGGATTACAAGTGTGAGCCACTGTGCCCAGCCCAGATTATTTTTATAATACTCCGTGACAGTCCAGAGTCGCTTCAAATTGCACTTTTCTGGTTTTGCTTATTTAATTAACAGATGAGTGTAAGTATAAAAACATGAAGGGGAAATAAATAGCAGTGGAAATGTATTTGGTTGCTGAATACTGCTCCACAACATCTTGGGACATATGTTTTCCTTTGGAGAGCCAGGCCTTGTTATTATTCTTTTCTGAAAAAGAAAACATTTTATTTCCTTTGGGCTTGCCTTAGCTCTTTCTTAGCAAGCCATTATCCAGCTCAGTACCTTGCAAACAGAAAACTAGAGTCTGGGGTTTCGTTGTGATCTGAATTTGTAAGTTATTAGTGTGAAAGGGAGAGCAGGAAGCTCACAGTCAGATTTGTTTGCACAAAGTTCACTGTAAATACTGTGAGAATTGAATTCTGAAAAGGTCATATTTAACGATTTCAAAAGCCCATGTTTAAATAAAGACGGACTAAATAAAAGGTACCACACACTCCTTGGTTGGTTTCATTCCATTGCACGTTGTGTGGCTGTGTTAGTTCTTGGCACCGTTACAGGCAGGGAAAGCTTTCTGCTGCCCCAGGACCCAGCATACCTTCCTGTATGCCCCACCAACCAGTGACCCTGCTCCCGTCCCATCGTCCAAGCGACACTAACCACCACTGACCAGGCAGCACCTACCGAGCACTAAATCTACACATTCCACTGTTGATGCTTCCCATACCCAGGGGTCTTTCCTGTTTTATAATTGAGGACATTGAGGTTCTGAGTGGTTGAACAATCCCAGATCTAGTGTGGGATACCCTGGATACAAACCCACAGTGGCCCGAGGCCAAATTCCTGTTCTCTCTCTCACCTTTGTTATCAATGCTGTGAACTAGGGACAGTCCAGGGCGTCAGACACCACGTGGAACTCTCCCCCACTGCTGCCTGGGAGGCTCCCCAGCTGGGAGGGTCCTAGCGTGAGGCCAGCAGGGACTGAGATCATGATGTTCTTGGACCAGGCTCTTGGCTGGGGCCAGGCGTCTGCCCAGAAGTTAGGGTTGCTCCTGGAGAAAACACTCAGGAGCACCCTCCCCTTGGAAATGTCCCAGACCCTCAGCCTCATGGGTGGGCCTCCTTTGATGGCTCTGGGGGAGCAATGTGGCTGTCCAAGGAGGGGCTGAGAGCTTTCCACATCCCCCTTCACCAGCCAGACTGGTGTGTCTGCATTTCCCGTGAGACACAGCTGCTGGAGCCGTAGCACAGTCTAGAAATTACCCAAGACCTGAAAGTGATTGTAATAATGTGAAGGAAAATGAAACACACATTCCTGGAATCATTTTTAATGTGAAAAGATAGTTGTTTCAAAATAGATTTACAAATCTTGCTTGTCTGTTATATTAGAGGAGATTAAGATTTTATGTCTTTTACTTGTTTACCATTTTATCCAAAAGAATATCATACATGTGGCATGAACGAGAACCATCTCTGCATGGGTGTTCTTTCAGGAAGGTTTTGGATATTTGATTGGGGGCTTATAGTTGGATAAAGGTCTGAGATACATACTATTGGGAGACCCTGAAAACCTAGACTTAGTCTACCTAAAAAGACTGAAAAGACTGAAGATGGATGTGAACAAGGTGTGATTTCATTTTTGAAGCATGGAGACTGCTGTTATGTAGCTGCCATAATGAAAGCAGAGCAAAGCTGAGTGTTTGGCCTGGTCTGCACTAAGCCCGTACAGACATCTCACTCAAGCCTCCACCTGACGGAGGGAAACTTGGACCACAGAGAGGGTGAGCAATGCCCTTCAGATCAGACAGCTGGCCACAGAGCCAGGATTTAGAGCCAGGGCTGACCCCAAGGTCCACATCTTTGGAAACCAGGCTGCAAATCCAGGCCCCTCCACCTGTTCTTCAGCTCTGCACCCCAGGACAGATAAATTCATCTCCTCACAGCCCCCACAGGAAAAGGAATTCTGGATGCCAGTGCTAAAGGATAACGTGGTGGAAAGATTTTGAAAGTTAGATTCATTCAAGGGGGTAACTTCACTTGGTGGTTTGATGTTTGGAAGATCTCATTAGACCTCTGTGTAGCGTAGGGACACTCAGTCTTGAACTTCTCCAATATTTTGAGCAGTCCCTCAACTTGACATAGGCATTAATTTCAGATTGCAGTGGGGGCAGTGGCTCATGCCTCTAATCCCAGGGCACTTTAGGAGGTGGAGGCAGGGGATGGGGGCGCAGGTATGGCAGATCGGGATTGCTTGAGCCCAGGAGTCCAAGACAAGCCTAGACAACGTAATGAGACTTCATCTGTACAAAATAAAATTAAATAACAAAATATAAAACCTTTTTTTTTCAGATTGTCATTCTGCATCTGCCTTTGTTTTCTTGGCTTCCTTTTTCAGTTGGACATAATATTAGCTTAGATTTCCTGACAGGAGTGATTGCCACCCAGCCAGCTATTCCACCATTTCCCAGTGGCCCAGCACCCGTGGGCCACAGAGGCTGAAGTTCATGGTGGATGCACATCCAATACCTGCCAGCATCCCCGCCTTTCCTCCCAACTTCCTCCTCAGGGAGGAGAATATACAGTTACAATACCCTAAAATAAAGTCACCATGAAAACACACAAAAAGTCGCAACTCCTTTATCACCGACTAATGTAACGTAGATATAATTTAATCACTCCATTGAGAGCCATCTGTGTTACCTTAAAATGCTGTGATCATGGGGCCCCTCTGGGAGAACATGTTGCAATATACGTTAATCATTCATCCTTTAGGGAAGGTTGGAAAAATAGGATCACTTTTAGTTTTAGGTCTGATACCTGACGCTATAAAATAGCCAAAATATTTATTCAAGTACTCATTTATTCATTCATTTAACACCTGTTGAACTCATCCTCCTTGCTGGTTAGGGATGGATCCTGAGACAGGACACGGAGTGACACACCAGGATGACTGTAGGCCTCATGTGCCCTTGGGAGCTGGGGGGGTCAGAGGCCTTTATAAGTCGGTCTCTGCAGCTGGCCTTGGGCTGAATCAGCAGAGAAGGGAAGATAGATGGGAGGTGAGGAGCCCGGGAGGAAGAGCAGACCCCATTGCCGACCCCCAGGACGTGGGGGACCTACAGAAGGGTGGCACCCTTCAGTGCAGAGCCCCGGGACTGGGCCCACAGTGGCAAAACTGAAGAAGGAGGTGCAGGGAATGGGGACCCCTGACAGCAAGGGGAGCCAGAGGTCTCTGAC